ACTGTTACCATCCTATTCCTTTGTTAAAGTTTGTTCCAATCTCTCTTAGAAATAACTAGATCCAATCCAGGACACTTCTCAACACTTCCCATGATTATTCTCTTTGGTGTTATGCTTCCCTTGGAGTGCTCAGATTTTCCTTATCTTGTCGCAGCATCTAGCACAGTGCCTAGAACATAATAGGTACCTCATAAATATTTATTGAACAAATTATGAATAATGAGCATGATCTCACTTAGGAGGTGGTGCAGGATCCTTAGTTCTCCTCAAAGAAAACAAAAACCAGAGTCACGGATGATTTGTGGAAAGCCTTTCTTGGGGGGATTCAGTGTGGCTTAGCCTGGATTCTCTTGCCTAGGAGGACATGCTGCTTGAAAATGTCCCAGGACAACCTGCAGGTTAGGGAGCTTTCCAAGAAAGAATGAAGGCTGAAGGAGGAAATGACAGCAAAAATGTCACTGAAATAAAATGGCAAGTGGGAGTGGAAAGTCAAGGAGATGAATGGACGATGGAATCCTACGGAATTCATATAATTACCCAACAAATTGGGATGGTGAGGTGAGAGTGACTGAAAGGGTAAAGATTCAGGAGGCAATCCATTCACTCACTCCTTCAACAAATCTGTACTGAATGCCTCCTAGGTGCAGGGCACTTCCGATTAATGGGGATCCGCAAACATGCTGCCTACATGGAGTTTACAGTAACAGCAGGGCAATCATCCAATCGTTCAACACAAATTTATTGAGCACTTACTGCATCTACCACATTGTTTAGGCACGGATAATACAGCAGTTAATGAACGAGATGAAATTCCCCGCCCTTATGGGGGTGACAATTTACAAAAAGGAATAGGTCCAGTGAGTGATGCGTTACACACTAACACAGTAATCGAGCCAAGTGCAAAACTGCAAAGGGGCCAAGCAGGAATACAAGGCATAGTTAGAGACAGTGACAGGGACTGAGTAAACTTCAGAGGGTTAAAGGGCAGGGAGCAGAGCAAGAGACCTGGGCTGGAGAGTGTCCTTCCGTGGGAGGAGCCAGGCTAATGATGGCAGAGAGCTAGGGTTGGAGACCTGGGTGACCTTATTATAGCCTCAGTTTTCCTTGTGTGTCTTCCGACCTGACAAGGTCGTCGCGTGATTTAAGTGAATTACTGTGTGCGGCGTGCGGGGCACGAGGGCTGGCATCAAGAGGGCCCCCAATCAAGAGCAGTCAAACCCCAAAGCAAGTGGAGGCCTGGGTGGCACAGATTGAAGGGCTTCCCTGGCCCCAGGAGCCCCCGCTCGGGGCTCCGCACCGTAGCTGCCCTTGCTCTCCTTCCTCGCTCCCCTCTCTGGTGCCCCGCCCGCCAGAACGCCCTCGGGTTCGGCCGCAACGGCTCGGGAACTGCCGGCGTCCGCGTCTACAGCGCCGCCAGCCAGGCCGCAGCTGCGTCGGACCTCAGCGTCCGCTCCCGCGTCCCCGCCGGGAGACCCAGGTGGAGCCGTGGCAGAGAGCCGCCCGGGGCCGGGGGCTGCAGGGTGGAGCCGGGCGCGGGCGTCCGGGTGCGGGGCACCAGCCCCGGTTGCCCTCCGAAGTCCCGGGGCGGGGGCTGCGTCAGTGGCCGGCAGGGCCCGGCGCGTCGCGGGCGCTCGGTGTTTGTGGCATGAATGAATGACGGTATCCCTGAGAGCTTATCTCTCAGAGGTATCTTCTCTGCTTGTGAAAGGCCGCCGAACCGCAAGGACAGGGGGCGATGCATGCGATTTGCAATCGGAGCCTTTCAAACTCTTTGGTCCGAGTTGCCAGAAGCCCCAGAACTGGGCTGCAGCCTGATCCTCTCGCTACCACCGTCTGTCTCCTCCTGCGGCCCCACTGCCCAGGCGCGCCTTCTTCTTTCAGACCTCACCGCTCTGTTCATTTTGTTCTTTGGGACTGCGCCCCCACTCCCGCCTGCCATGGCTCCCTTCTCTTTCTCTCAACTCCTACTGATGTATCAGTGCCCCCCTGTGAAGCCTTCTCCAACATCCTCACCCTGACCATGAGTTTCTCTCCAACACACCCCACTGGTCGCATCGAAGGTAGTTGTGTATGCTTTGGATGGCTGTCGACCCAGTCCCCAAGGCTCTTCATCCCCAGCCACCAGACAGCATAACTGAAGGATCCTAAAAGCAGTGCACTCCGCTTGTGCCTTTGCTATATCCCAAATACATTCCCTATAAAAATGGAGGTAGTAACGGGCAAAGGGCTGTTGTTTCTGATGAAATTACAAATGCTTATTTGAAATTTTGGAAGTGGATATTACCATGATTATAGAGAATATAGGAAAGATGACAGTATGAGGCGAAAGATATTCTTGCAACTAAACTAAGGTTCAGGATTTCACATCTATCAGTCAGGTTAATAGTCAGAAATTTGGGTTGCATTTAAGTTTTTGATTATTGGCCTTTAAAATACTTTCAGCATAGGGGTGCCTGGGTGGCGCAGTCGGTTAAGCGTCCAACTTCAGCCAGGTCACGATCTCGCGGTCCGTGAGTTTGAGCCCCGCGTCAGGCTCTGGGCTGATGGCTCGGAGCCTGGAGCCTGTTTCCGATTCTGTGTCTCCCTCTCTCTCTGCCCCTCCCCCGTTCATGCTCTGTCTCTCTCTGTCCCCCCCCCCCCAAAAAAAAACCGTTGGAAAAAAAAATACTTTCAGCATATTATGTAAATGAATCAACAGATGGTTGATAGACAGGGGTAGTTTGGGGGATGCAGGGGCTAGGTCAAATGTGCCTTTTTTATTTTTTAATGTTTATTTATTTTTTGAGACAGAGAGAGAGTGCAAGCGGGCAGGAGCAGAGAGAGGGGCAGAGCATCCAAAGCAGACCCTGTACTGACAGCAGCTAGCCCCATGTGGGACCCAAACTTGTGAACTGTGAGATCATAACCTGAGGGAAAGTCCGACATTCAACCGACTGAATCACTCAGGTATCCCAAAAGTGCCTGTTTTTTAAAAAACATTTTAAAAAATGTTTATTTGTTTTTGAAGGGGGGAGAGAGAGAGAGAGAGAGAGAGAGAGAGAGAGAGAGAGAGAGAGAGAGAGAGAGAGAGAGAGAGAGAGAGAGAGAGAGAGAGACAGCATGAGCGGGGGAGGGGCAGTGAGAGAGGGAGACACAGAACTTGAAGCAGGCTCCAGGCTCTGAGCGGTCAGCACAGAGCCCGACGTGGGGCTTGAACTCATGAACTGTGAAATCATGACCTGAGCCAAAGTGGGACGCTTAATCGACTGAGCCACCCAGGTGCCCCCTTTTTAACATTTTTTTTTTGAGCTTATTTATTTTTGAAGGAGAGAGAGACAGTAAAAGTGCCTGTTTTTAACAATGCCCCCAAATTGAGCATGGGAAGACTAACCAAATAAATGATAAATAAATAATTGGCTACATTTACAGCAGTCCTCACACTTTATTGTGTAGCAGAATCACCTGGAGGTTTCTTAAACCAACTGCTGGCCCATCCGCAGAGTTTCTGATTAATTAGGTCTTGCTAGGTGGGACCTGAGAATTTGCATTTCTAACATGTTCCCAGATTATGCTGATGCTATTTGTGTGGGCACCAAGTGTGGGCTACACAGATGAAAATAATTTGTTGGTAGTGAAGCCAGATGCCCAGAATCACGTTTGTAGAAAAAGAAAATGAAACCCTAGGAACTTCAGACCCATAGTCCACCCACCTGAATATTTTGTCTGATGTCAAGAAGCATCAGTGAATTGTTTTCTAAGCAGACACTTAGCTTCAAGATTATGGGTGGAACTTAGCATGTTATTGATCACACCATGTGCAAAGACCCGTCACACTGATGCCCTCAGGAGTCAGCAACAGAGACCCCCTCTTGCATTGTGTCTCAGCTGAAAGGTCATTCCCATCAGTGTACTTTGATAACTTTTTTCTGAAATGCACCACCTTCTCCACA